GCGGTAAAAGCATGGGTCAAATAAAACAGAACATTGACATGTGTAATTAAATATTTCCCTTTCTGATGTCAAACTCTTTTTTGCCTCCCCCTCCCAAAAAACAAAAACAAAGTGAGCTTGCTGCCATCCCATTTCTCAGATTATTGAAAAGAAAGAACAGTTTAGACCAAACTTTTTTGGCCACCGACTTCTTGGTTCCATACAGTCATCCCCGGTGCCACTGTGCCCTATGAAAAAAGCATTATTTGGAATAGATAGATAAACTTTATTTGCATTAGCCAACGGCCATAGCAAGTTATTCGGAATAGTGGTTTGCATGTCCCGCAAAGGAAGATAACACAATAAAATTCAGAACAGTAAGAATTAATTGCACATTTATTCAAAATCCAATAATTAATTAATTCAACGAAACTGATGAATTTGATCTGGTGATGCTAGCTTTTCAAAGTCTATGATAGTTATTTACATCTCCAGTAGGTAAAGGTAAAGGACCCCTGGATGGTTAAGTCCAGTCAAAGGCGGCTATGGGGTTGCGGCGCTCATCTCGCTTTCAGGCCGAGGGAGTCGGCATTTGTCTACAGACAGTTTTCCAGGTGATGTGGCCAGCATGACTAAACCGCTTCTGGCGCAACAGGACGCCGTGACGGAAACCAGAGCGCACAGAAATGGCATTTACCTTCCTGCTGCAGCAGTACCTATTTATCTACTTGCACTGGCGTGCTTTCAAACTGCTAGGTTGACACGGGCTGGGACAGAGCAACGGGAGCTCACCCCGTCGCGGGGATTCGAACCGCTACCTTCTGATCAACAAGCCCAAGAGGTTCAGTGGTTTAGACCTCAGCACCACCCGCTGCCTCGTCTCTAGTGTAACCCCCTAGGTAATCCATTGCCCACCCCCAGGGGGGCACTACCACCCCATTTAGGAACCACTGATTTGGATTGAGCATTTTGTGATTGAGAGTGGGGAAGCATCTTGAGGCATTTGGGCAATTAGGCAAGTAGAGGAGTTAAAAATTCTAAAAAGCTTCATTTGCATTTGTTTTGGTTGGCCCAACCCATTAAGAAAAACACAAATCCCAGACTACGGCACATTACGGTGCTGGGTGACCAGCCCTTTTGTTACGGGTTAATGGTATAGAAATGGAGGGTGGATGTGTCTTCAGTAGGATCTTCTGGTTAGGAGACACAGAGGAATCGGAGATGCTCGCCAGAGCTTGTGTCTCCCCACAGGAGGCTGTGGTGACCACCAAGTCTGGTAGCTTTAAAAGACGGTTTAAGACAAATTCATGGGGAGAGAGGCAGGGAGACTCCAAGATCAGCTGGGTGGGTGACATCAGCCTCAGCCCAGTATACCTGAAGGAGCGCCTCCATCCCCATCGTTCAGTGAGGTCCAGCTCCGAGGGCCTTCTGGCAGCTCCCTCACTGTGAGATGTGAGGTCACAGGGAACCAGGCAGAGGGCCTTTTCGGTAGTGGCACCTGCCCTGTGGAATGCCCTCCCATCAGATGTCAAGGAAATAACTATCTGACTTTCAGAAGACATCTGAAGGTTTAGGGAAGTTTTTAATGTTTGATGTTTTATCGTGTTTTTAATATTCTGTTGGGAACTGCCCAGAGTGGCTGAGGAAACCCAGTCAGATGGGCAGGGTATAAATAATAAACGATGATGATGATGATGGTTCTACATAGGCTGCTCACACAACCAAAGCAACCAGAGTTCACCCCCACCTATCAGCTGACCGAGAGGGCTTTAAATCCTGATCAGTTTGGCTGTGCATGTCTGATCCCCTCCAGAGTTGGGAAAGGCTTGTGGAGCCTGCCTGGTGTTTTTACATGAGTAGAATGTGTGCTTTTATTTAAAATGCATCTCTGGGTTATTTGTGGGGCATAAGAATTCGTTCATTCCCCCCCCCCCGCCATATACTCCAGCCCACCACATGGTCTGAGGAACAGTGGACTGGCCCACGGCTGAAAAAGGTTGCTGACCCCTGACCTAATCCATTCCTGGACGGTTTGCCATTGTCCATGGGATGAATGCCTGCCTGGCACCCATTTGCCAGGATGCCAGTGCAAGAAGCTGCTGTGTACGTGATTCCAGGTTTCAGGGATTATGGCTGCCCACACCCCAGACTCCCCCCTTTATAAGCCATTCCTTTCCTGAACAGAACAAAGAATGGTACAATTCCACACTGGAGCGGTTTTATATGACTTTCTAAAGTTTTCCCAGTGAGCCAGTACGTAGATTCATTTATCAGCGAATTGTTATATTTGGTAATGTGCAGCAAAGGCCCTTTGACTAGAGATAGGAAGAACTGTGAGGAAGTGTTTTGTGGGGACATTTGCCAAAGTGATTGCGCTGATTTTGGTAGCTGGGGCGTGTGGGTATGATATGTTTAGGAAAATTTTAATGTTTAATAGACTATTGTATTTTAATATTCTGTTGGAAGCTGCACAGAGTGGCTGGGGAAACCCAGCCAGACGGGCGGGGCATAAAATTATTATTATTATTATTATTATTATTATTATTATTATTATTATTAGCTGCTGGAGGGGTAACCCTCCCCCCTCAATCTTTACATAAATTCCTGCAACAGGTGGAAATGCAAACTGGGAACCTTCTGCTTTAGCAGAGGGGGAAGGAAAGGGGCTGCACGGTGTAGGTTTGCAGCCAAAAAGTCCACCCTCAATTTGGGGGAGAGTGGAGGGGGGGTGCAAACGAGACCCGACCCCCCCTTCTGCTCCCAGCATGCTCCTCTTCCTTTCAGCGTCTGGTCTTTTCTCCTTGCATACTGGACCCAAAATGCACTCCCCAGCTCCCTTGCAGATTTTTATTTATTTTTTGGTTGTGGTGGGGGAGATAGAAGAAGGGAGGCTCTAGATGGGGGGGGGCAGGAAGTGGATGCTTCATGGCCTCTCTAGGCATCCGGCTCTCTCTCCCTCCTTAACCCTGTGTTGGGTTACTCTCCACAAGAAACAAGAAGGGGGGAGGAAGGAAAAGTGGTGTAAGCTTTGCACGCTCCCCTTGGGAAAGCATAAACAAATACAGCAACAAAAAAGCAAAGGGATTTTTTATCTTATTTTTATTTTTTGCAGGCAGCGGGCTTGCTTTTTCCTCACGCCTCTGCTGGGTTTTCTGCATCGAGCAAAGTGGGTTTTTCTCAGTTAGGATTGCAAACGGAATTGCAATGATTGCAAAAAATGGGGATATAAATATATATATATACAGAGAGATTAGCAGTATTTATTTTTTTTGCAATAATCGCAATTCTGTTTGCAATGCTAACCGCGAGGTTTGCAAAACCTCTTTGTTTGCTTCCTTCGGGCGAGAGAGAGAGAGAAGAAAATGGGTTAATGGGGGGGGAGTCGCCTGCACTTTCCTAGACAGGCACCGAGGAGGAAGAAGAAGAGGAGGAGGAGGAGGAGGAGGAGGAGGAAGCGGAGACGGGAAGGTCACTTCCTCCCCCTTTTTGGGAAAGTTGGGAGGGGTCTGGTGAGTGAAATGGGAGAACTGGGGGGAACTGGGGGACGTGCGGGTGGGGGAGGGCCGGAGGAGGAACGGTGGTGCTTTAGGGGTCGGGGAAGGTCCTGGGGAGGAAAGTGGGGCGAAGGCAAAGTGGGGTGGGGGGGAGGGGAGGTTGTCGCTGGACCTTTTGTGGCGCAATCGCGCGACACGGTTGCAATTGCGGCGCAGGAGAATCCCTTTGATCTCCCACCCCTCCCCCGCTCCTATCATAAGCATGATCATAAACAATCCAGGCAGGGAAAGAAAAGGTCCACCCCCTTCATTGGATCCCGCTCTTGTCTGATGCAATCTCTCGACTCCGGGGAGTGGAGGGGGTGTCACAATTTTTGTGGGTTTGGGGAGACCACCCCCCCCCGCTCCCGGGGTTCAAACCAGAAATTGTCGGTGCATCTTTGGGGTCGGGGAACCTCAGCTGCTGCGGACAGATGGGGGCGGGGTGGGCCACGTCTTGGCCCCCCCCCGTGGGATCCCGTGGGATCTGGGGATCTCAAAGGAGGCCGTGTGGGGCAGGAAAGAGGTGGAAAGGGGCGCGGGGTGGGGGGTGTCACTGGCAAAGCGCCTGCGTTGCATTATTATTAATATTATGTATTAATACTACAGGAGTCTGCGTTATATAAGCCTCTGCTTCGTTCAGTTACGCTCTGCATCTGTTAATAGTATTGTTGCAATGTGCATTATTGGAGTTGGAAAATGATGCCAGCGGTCATCAAGTCCAGCCCCCTTGTACTGCAACCGTGCTCTGCGTCACGATGCAATGTTATTCTGGATCATTCATAATAATAGCAATTAGACCGATGAATAACGTCTCCATGCGACTTATCAGGGTGGGGGCGGGGGGAGTTGGGATGCTCTAACTGCCAGCGTCAGACCTACAGGACCATCTAGCTCAGGGGTCAGCAAACTTTTCAAGCAGGGGGCCGGTCCACTGTCCCTCAGACCTTGTGGGGGGCCGGATTATATTTAGAAAAACAAAAAAAGAGCAAATTCCTATGCCCCACAAATAACCCAGAGATGCATTTTAAATAAAAGCGCACATTCTACTCATGTAAAAATGCGCTGATTCCTGGGCCGGATTTAGAAAGCAATTGGGCCGGATTCGGCCCCCAGGCCTTAGTTTGCCTACCCATGATCTAGCTCAATAGTGCCTGCACGGACTGGTAGCAGCGGCTTTCCAGAGTTTCAAGTAAAGCCCCCCCCCCAAAAAAAAACTGGAGATGCTGCACAGGGGTTGAATCCCGGGACTTAATGCATGCAAAGCACATGCTTTGTCGCCAACCTGTGGCCTTTCAAACTGCTATGAGATACGCCTCCCATTTTTCATGGCCATTGGCTGGTGGATCGGGCCAAAGGTGGGGTGATCCTAGTCCAAAATCCTGTTCTCACAGTGAGTCCCAGGAATGTAAACCACATTTATTTATTTTTTAATTTATAGTGGTTGGCATTTTAAAAAAATTAAATAAAAATAAACTGGTGTTATTCAGAGACATATTAGCTCCGACAGTGGAGCAGCCAGTAACACACCGGTTGCAAAGTACTGAATTCATAGAGTTTTTTGTGGCAACACAGAAAGCCCTGAATGGTTTGTTCTCCCTCCTCTATTACGGGCAGGATGCCTCCAGAAAAACCCAGTTCCTGGGACTCTGAATAGGGGAGAGTGCTGATGGTTTGTGGGGCATCCCTTAATGGTTACACAGCTTTTGCCACTGTGAGAAAAGGGTGCTTGGGCTGGGTGAGCCTCTGTTTGGGCAGAGCCAGCTGCCTCAGGATTCTTCTGGTATACAGTGGTGCCTCGCAAGACGAAAAGAATCCGTCCCGCGAGTCTCTTCGTCTTGCGGTTTTTTCGTCTTGCGAAGCTAGCCCATTAGCAGATTAGCGCTATTAGCTGCCTAGCGGGCTTAGCGGATCAGCTGATAAGCGGCTTAGCGATCATCTGTTAAGCGGCTTAGCGGATCAGCTGATAAGCGGCTTAGCAATCAGCTGTTAAGCGGCTTAGCAGTTTAGCGGATCAGCTGTTAAGCGGCTTAGCAGATCAGCTGATAAGCGGCTTAGCGATCAGCTGTTAAGCGGCTTAGTGGATCAGCTGTTAAGCGGCTTAGCGGATCAGCTGATAAGCGGCTTAGCGATCAGCTGTTAAGCGGCTTAGCGGATCAGCTGATAAGCGGCTTAGCGATCAGCTGTTAAGCGGCTTAGTGGATCAGCTGTTAAGCGGCTTAGCGGCTTGGGAAAAAGGGGGGGGGGGAGAAAAAAAAACCTGCAGGAACTCGCAAGACATTTTCGTCTTGCGAAGCAAGCCCATAGTAAATTTGTTTTGCGAAGCACCTCCAAAACGGAAAACCCTTTCGTCTAGCGGGTTTTCCGTCTTGCGAGGCATTCGTCTTGCGGGGCACCACTGTATTATAAAACCCTAGAATCATAGAGGTGGAAGGGACCCCAGGGTCATCTAGTCCAACCCACTGCAATGCAGGAATCTCAGCTAAAGCACCCATGACAGATGGCCGTTCAACCTCTGCTTAAAAACTGCCAGGGTTCTTCACGTACATCGTTGGTACTTCAGGTTGTGTTTTGTTGCGCCTAGGAAACGTCAACCCGCTTTAGTCAGTCATGGGTCTGGTTTAGTTCAGGCAGAACCAGATGCCACTTCCTGATTGGCTCGCTCTCCTCTCAGTGCTTCATCCCATTGGCTGTCTCTTGTACCTGTCTCATTAGACCAAAAGGACAGGAGGCGGGGCCTTTGATTGGTTCGCTCTCCCCTCAGCGCTCCATCTTGTTAGCGCTCTCCCATGCCTGTCACATTACACCAGCTTTTCCTGCTGTTTCATCTCCCAATACAGAACCAGGACGCCCCAACTGACATTCCCTCAATAAAATAAAACCGACATTTTCACCAACCGTACACCCAAAACAGCTCCAGAGCACCCATTTTCTTTTACTGCTTAATAATAATAATAATAATATCTAGCTCAGTTTCCCCAGCCACTCTGAGCAACTTCCGACAAATATAGGTAAAGGTAAAGGGACCCCTGACCGTTAGGTCCAGTCGTGACCGACTCTGGGATTGTGGCGCTCATCATCATTACTGGCCGAGGGAGCCGGCGTACAGCTTCCGGGTCATGTGGCCAGCATGACTAAGCCGCTTCTGGTGAACCAGAACAGCGCACGGAAACGCGGTTTACCTTCCCACCGGAGCGGTACCTATTTATCTACTTGCACTTTGACATGCTTTTGAACTGCTAGGTTGGCAGGAGCTGGGACCGAGCAACAGGAGCTCATCCCGTTGTGGGGATTCGAACCGCCAACCTTGTGATCGGCAAGTCCTAGGCTCTGTGGTTTAACCCACAGCACCACCCGCGTCCCCTCCGACATAATAAAACACCAAACGTTAAAAACCTCTCTGTACAGGGCTGCTTTCAGATGTCTTCTAAAAATTGTGTCGTTCTTTATCTCCTAGTCATCTGGTGGGAGGGCTTTCCACAGGGAGGGCACCACCACCAAGAAGGCTCTGTCCCTGCTTCCCTGTAACTTCGCTTCTCGCAGTGAGAGAACCAGCAAAAAACCTCAGTGTCTGGTGTTGAGCGATGGGGGTGGAGACAATCCTTCAGGTATACTGGGCCGATGCCGTTTAGGGCTTTCAAGGTCAGCACCAACACTTTGATTTGTCCTCACACTTTGATTTGTACTGGGAACCAATGTAGGTCTTTCGGGACTGATGTTATATGGTCTCAGCGGCCAGTCTAGTTGCCACATTCTGGTTTAATTGTAGTTTCCAAGTCACCTTCAAAGGTAGCCCCACGTAGAGCACATTGCAGTAGTCCAAGCGGGAGATAACCAGAGCATGCACCACTCTGGCGAGACAGTCCACGGGCAGGTAGGGTCTCAGTTGGCGCACTCAGTTGGAGCCAGAAGACCCTTGGAGCTGGACTGCTTGCACGCTTCTGGTTGCAGGATGCAGGCTTAGATGGATATCAGGTGTGATCCAGCACCTGGGGAAGCTGCTCTCATAAACAACGTCCTCCTTGTTCTTACAGGCTCACCAGGGAAGCCTCGGCTGCAGAGGGTTCTAGTTGTTGTGACGGAAGCAGAAGCCTTTTGTGTTCGGGATCTCTGAGCACCGGTGCAGAGCGATCCAGCAGACTCTCATCTGTGAGACCAGAGCAACAGTTGAGTGGGGAGGCTGTAGGATCTTTCCCTGCCCCGCCGTCCTCTGTCACGGGGGCAGGAGATGGAGGGAGGTTGATGGTGTGTGGGATGAAAGAGGACCAGGAGATATCTGGAGGTCAATGTCTGGTAAAGGGGTTCTGCTTAGAGATTCCAGCTTTGCATAAGTGAGCCGGCCGGTCTTCAGTTTTCTGTGCCGGGAGTGAGGATGGCATCCATAGCTCAATTGGCCGAACACTTGGTTTGTATGCAGAAAAGCCCCTCCCTAGGATCACTCGCCGAAGTGTCCCATTAAATGGGTGCCATTTAGCAGAGCTGGAAGAAGCCAGTTGGAGGAGAGGTTTTTCCTGGGCTTTTGCGAGTTAAACCACAGAGCCTAGGACTTGCCGATCAGAAGGTCGGCGGTTCGAATCCCTGAGACGGGATGAGCTCCCGTTGCTCGGTCCCTGCTCCTGCAAACCTAGCAGTTCAAAAGCACGTCAAAGTGCAAGTAGATAAATAGATACTGCTCTGGTGGGAAAGTAAACGGTGTTTCCGTGCACTGCTCTGGTACACCAGAAGCGGCTTAGTCATGCTGGCCACATGACCCGGAAGCTGTACGCCGGCTCCCTTGGCCAATAAAGCGAGATGAACACCGCAACCCCAGAGTCGGTCACAAGTGGACCTAATGGTCAGGGGTCCCTTTACCTTTACCTTTATAGGCGGAGGGGCAATGAACTTGGTACATCCCATCAAGTCACTTTGGAAGTGGGTGTAGGATCTAAAGACTCCTGCTTGCAAAGCCTTGGCAGAGAGAACAGCGAGCAGAAAACTTTATTTGCGCCCACCGGTCTCACAGAGTTGTTTTTATTATTAATATTGATTAATTTTGTATACCGCCCTCCATCCGTAAATCTCAGGGCGGTTCACAACATAAAAATACAATATAAAGAAACCAGCAGAAGCAACATTTATATGTTTATTTCCTAATATTTACACATTGCTTGATTGAAAGGAAAAAAAGTTTTTAGGGGCTAACCAGGTTGGGATGGCTGGGATAGCAGGCTTGTTGGGTTTTGAATGTCTTATGTAGATTTTTCAATTTCGTTGTTCTGTATGGGACAATGACAATAAAGATTATCGTATCGTAAAAAAAAAAAAAAGCCTTGAGGGAGTTTACAAAAAGAATAACAGTAAAATTATCAATAAATAAGAATAACAATAAAACTAAAAGCAGTTAAAAACAAACTTTTGTAAAGCTTTCAAAAAGAATTAAACGAGAAACTAAAAACAGATTAAATACATGTCCTGTGGCTCTTGGGTCTCTCTTCTCTTTTTCCTTTCCTTCAGAGAGAGAGGCATCAGTTGAATCGCCAGGAAACCCGTTGACCTTGTGAGACAGAGAAGGAGCAAGAATGAAAGTGAAGCTGGAGCAAGGAAATCCTTTGGAGTCGTACGGGGCTCCGCTTGAGCACGAAGAGAAGTTTAGCGTGCAAAGCCAAGCAGGCGACGAATCTAGGGAAAGGGGCGGGAAGAGACCCTCACGCCTTGGAGGCCCGGGGCAGCGGGGAATTCTGGGTAGGAAGCGTGCAGGAGATCCTGGCCAGGGGACACAATCCGCTCAAAGGGACCATACCAGCGTTTCAAGCATTTCTGCTACCAGGAGGCCGAGGGGCCCCGCGAGGTCTGCAGCCAGCTCCACGACCTTTGCCGCCAGTGGCTGAAGCCGGAAAGGCACACCAAGGCCCAGATCCTGGATCTGGTGATCCTGGAGCAGTTCCTGGCTGTCCTCCCCCCGGAGATGGAGAACTGGGTCAGGGAGTGCGGAGCGGAGACCAGTTCCCAGGCGGTGGCCCTGGCCGAAGGCTTCCTCCTGAGCCAGACAGAGGGGAAGAAGCAGGAGGAGGAACAGGTGAATATTTCATCTAGATCGCGGAGTTGAAAATGCTTGCTTCGCTCGCCAGCCCTCCTGATTCCCCCTTTCCAAACCTTTAAACCATTTAACCTTTAAAGCCCTATACGGCCTAGGACCTTTGTACCTACGGGACCACCTCTCCTGGTATGTCCCACGGAGGACCTACGGTCTTCAAATAAAAGCATCTTGGAGGTCCCGGGCCACAGGGAGGTTAGGCTGGCCTCAACCAGAGCCAGGGCTTTTTCGGCTGTGGCCCCGATCTGGTGGAACGCTCTGTCACAAGAGACTAGGGCCCTGCGGGACTTGATATCTTTTCGCAGGGCTTGCAAGACAGAGCTGTTCCACCAGGCCTTTGGCCAAGGCACAGCCTGACCCCCTCCTTTGGCAATCCTCATAGCACTCTAGCCCAATGGTTGCCATCAATTTGACTCTGAATTGATTTTAGAATTAATTGATTTTAGAATGTATTTCAATTGATTGATTGTGATTTTATGTAAACTGTGTTATTTTTACCGTTGTTAGCTGCTCTGAGCCTGGCTTCGGCTGGGGAGGGCGGGATATAAATAACAACAATATTATTATTATTATTATTATTATTATTATTATTATTATGCACAAACCTCAGTAATGCCCAGGGCCGGATTACCAAATAGGCAGAGTTGGCACCAGCCAATGCGTCCCACGTCTCCCGTGACTCAGAAACCTACATCTTGGGGGAGGGGAGCAAGATTTTTACTGCCTAGGGGCCTTCAAAGGGTTTAATCCGGCATTTCCAGACACCATCGTCATCACCATCATAATTTATTATTTATACCCTGCCCATCTGGCTGGGTTTCCCCAGCCACTCTGGGCAGCTCCCAATGGAATATTTAAAACACGATAAAACATCAAACATTAAAAACTAAACATCCCCACGCCCTCTAATCTCTTCACTCACCAACACCTCCCTCCCTCTCCCTCCCCCCCATAAAATTGTTTTATTTTCATTTCTTCATTTCAACAATTTTTATTGTGGTTCCCAAACTTGTCGCCTCCGCCACCATACACCTTTTGTTTCTATAATCGCACACCCAGTGCGCCCCCTCCCTATAAAAAGCATTATTTAGTGTAGTGGTTTGCACAGCCCACCAGGGAAGATAGTAACACGATAAAATAAATGGGCGATAAAATTCAAAGCAGTTCAAACCCTCTGCAATGGGAGGATCACAGCTTAGCAAGACCTCCCCTCCTCCACACATCTCAAACACTGTAGAACTACCGTATTTTTCCGCGTATTACACACACCCCGAGGTATAATACGCCCCCTATATTTGGGGACTCCAAATTCAGAGTTGTTGAGCTTTTTTGGGGAGATGGTTGTTGAACTTTTTTTTACGGGAAACTCGCTCTCAAGGCTGTGTCGATAAATATACCGCCATAAGCAGCCAATCGCCAGCACTACAGCCAATCAACACGAACTCTTGCCGCAGCCAACAATAATACGCCCTATAGCCGCTGACAATCTCCGGCTCGCGGCAGCAATCAGTCCCACATCCCCACTTTACCCTATCTGTGTATAAGATGCCCCCCAATTTTTCAGATGGTTTTTTTTAATAAAAAAGACCTAGTCTTATGCAGTCATACCTCAGGTTACAGACGCTTCAGGTTGCACGTTTTCAGGTTACGGATGTGCCGAAACCCGGAAGTACCAGAACAGGTTATTTCCGGGTTTCGGCGCATGCGCAGAAGTGCTAAACCTGGTATGCCCCACGGAGGACCTTAAGGTCCATAAATAGCAACACCCTAGAGGTCCTGGGCCCTAAGGATGTCAGATTAGCCTCAACCAGAGCCAGGGCCTTTTCAACACTGGCTCCAGCCTGGTGGAACGCTCTGTCTCATGAGACCAGGGCCCTGCAGGATCTGATTCCTTTCCACAGGGCCTGTAAGACAGAGTTGTTCCGCCTGGCCTTTGGCTTGGAGTCAATTTGATCCCCTCCCCCTCTTTCTTTTTTCTTTTTTCCTTTTTCCTTCTGTGATGGAACTCCTATTTGGGGACTTCCCTGGCTTTTTTCTGGCCCACGTAGGGCCAGTCTGGATAGTTGGCCTTGGTGAAGGCTTGACATTTTCATCCCCAAAAAAGTTTCGAGTTCCTACTGAAATGAGGCTGCATTTTAATACTGTATTTTAATCTTGTTTTTAAGTTGTATTTCAATCAATTGTTTTATACCTGGTGTTAGCCACCCTGAGCCCGGTCTTGGCTGGGGAGGGCAGGGTATAAATAAAATTGATTGTTATTATTATTATAGAAGTGCCGAATCGTGACCCGTGCGTGTGCAGATGCGACGCTGCGGATTGTGAATGTGCCTCCTGCACGGATCACGTTCGCAACTCGAGCGTCCACTGTATATGGAAAAGTATGGTACAGTGGACCCTTGGGTTACGTACTGCTCTGGATACGTAATCTTCGAGTTGCGAAAGCGGCAAACCCGGGAGCGTATTCTTTTGGGTTTTGCCGCATGTGCAGAAGCGCTCTATTGCGTCGTGCATGCTCTCAGAAGCGGCGCCTCTGGTTACGGATTTTTCAGGGTGCGCACGGACCCCCGAAACGAATTAAATTTGTAACCAGTAGGTCCACTGTGTTTCCAGTCACTGTGGGCAATGCACTGGAGGAGTAGAGGAGTAAAAAGTTTCACACTCTTCTTGGGCTCGCATGTTAATATGGAATTTTTCTTCCTCCACAAGGTTCCTGTGTCCTTTGAAGATGTCCCTGTGCCTTTCACCAAGGAAGAAGAGGAAGAATGGGCACTGCTGGACCCAGGCCAGAACGCCTTGCCCAGGGAAGTCTTGGTGGAAGACTTTGGGAATCTAGCCTCGCTAGGTAAGTTTTTGCTCTGAGTTGTGAATATGAGTTCATATATATATATATGTATGTATATGTATACAGTGGCACCTCTGGTTGCGAATGGGATCCGTTCCGGAGGCCCATTCGCAACATGAAAAGAGCGCAACCCGCAGCGGCGCGCCTGCGCCCACATGGGTTGCGATTCACCGCTTCTGCACATGCGCGTGATGTCATTTTGCACGTCTGCGCATGCGCGAGTGGCGAAACCCGGAAGTAACACTTTCTGGTACTTCTGGGTCACCGCGGGACGTATCCTGAAAGAACGTAACATGAAGCAAACGTAACATGAGGTATGACCTATGTTCTTCTTGTTCTCTTATTCTGTATGTTAAATCTGCAAGCTGCACATATTCCATCAATTTGCCATTCTTCTTTAGTAGGACTTTGCTCGTTTTCCATTTTTGGGCCAACAAAACATGGGCCACTGTAGTGGCATACATAAATAGTCTTTTTTGACACCTGGGAATTTCTGTGAGTTATTCCCAACAGAAAGGACTCTTGCTCTCTATTGCAAGTGAAGATTTCACCGGGGAGGTCTGTGGCCTTCCTGGAGGGTGGCAGGGGGCTGCTATTGAGCATCTTTGGACCTGCTCCATTATCTTCTGGCATGTCAGGATTTTGGAGTGTCTTCACAAGTAGGAAAAATCTGTACTTGGTGGTCCTCAGTCAGAGCTGAATGTTCTCAATGAGTAGGTGGCTTTCAGGTTGGGGTTTTCATTCCTTGTGCTGAGATGTTACTGACAGGCCACCCATGGGTTCCAGGACGTAAGGAGAGCCATCATGGATCAGGCCAATGGCCCATGTATTCCAGCATCCTGTTCTTGCAGTGGCCAAGCATATACCTGTGGGAAACCCACAAGCAAGATTTGAGGAGAAGGTTGCACTCCTGTCATTTACAGCAACTAGTATTCAGAAGCCTAGGAACGCAGGTGGCACTGTGGTCTAAACCACTGAGCCTCTTGGGCTTGCTGATCGGAAGGTCGGCGGTTCAAATCCCCACGACGGGGTGAGCTCCTGTTTCTCTGTCCTAACTTCTGTCAGCCTAGCAGTTCAAAAGCATGCCAGTGCAAGTAGATAAATAGGTATCGCTGTGATGGGAAGGCAAACGGCGTTTCCGTGTGCTCTGGCACTCGTCACGGTCCTCCGTGCACCAGTAGAGGTTAAGTCATGACCCGGAAAACTGTCTGTGGACAAATGCCAGCTCCCTTGGCCTGAAAGTGAGATGAGCGCTGCACCCCGTAGTCGCCTTTGACTGGACTTAACCGCCCAGGGGTCCTTTACCTTTATTCAAAAGCATTGCTGCCTCCGACTGTGTAGGCAGAGCATATTATTTTATTTTATTTTTGTAATTTTTGTTTTTTACCAACAACCAAAACACAAACAGTGAAAACAAGCAGTGAAAACCCCCAGGCGGCTGATACATTGGGTATACATAATCAATAATAACATATTCACATCAACCATATGTACAATTCGATATATCTTAACACTCTTCCCTCCACAAGGTTTCTTTAACTTTTAACATTTTAATTGCCCCAAATTGTTCAAACCTACCCAAATAATTCAATATCTTCTCAAACCAATCCTCCCCCTTCTCACTGACCTTAAACCCTTTCATTTTATGTATCCTCACAGTTAGATATTCTAAGATTATAATATTTTTCTATCTTTCTCTCCATTGGTTCACCCCTAGCTCTTCTGCATTTTTCCAGTTATTCGCTATAACCTGTCTGGCTGCAATTATCATCAATTTTACCCATTTACATTCCTCTTTTGTTTCTAACTCGTGCTACTCGGGCTAATATTATTTTATTATTATTATTATTATTATTATTATTATTATTATTGCCAGAAATTATTAAATTATATACAGTCCTTCATCAAGAGACCAATTTGGAGATGGTATTTAACACCAGTTAGATCAAATCAAATAAACAAGGAATATTTGGATTTATGTTGGAGGGGATGCCAGGAAACAGGGAATTATGTTCACATGTGGTGGGGGTGTAAATATGAACAACTCTTTTTGGCAAAGGGTGTTTAAGGAGATAACAGAAATCACTGGGTTAAAGCTGACCGAAAGGCCAGAGGTAGCATTATTATCAATTTACGATGGGATGGCAGTTACGCAGGCTATCAAGGCCTTGCTCACAAGTTTATTGACAGCTGCGCGAATTACGATAGATAGGAAGTGGAAGGGGCAAGCGGAATATAAAATGGAAGAATGGTATAAAGAGGTGTGGGATATATCTATTAATGATAAATTAACGTGTGCCATTAAGGTAAGACAGGGAATATGCAAGAGAAATAATTTTGAGGAGATATGGAGTGTGTGTGTAGGAGGAGTCAAACCATCGCAAGAGGCGTTGAAATTTTGGGAGGTTGGGCAGCTACTATGGAATGGTCTCAGCGGTGGGGTGCAAATTTTTATTCTTACTTATTTAGGATTATTACTTTGTCAAAAAAAAAAGAGAGAGAGAGAGAGACCACTCTCAATAAATTTGTCTAATTCTCCTTTCAAGCCAACCAAGTTGGTGGCCATCACTGCAAGAGTTGCATTCCAGAGGATTCCAGCAGGAAAACACTTGCAAGATTTTGAGTGCCATTTCTCTTATGGAAGCAGAAACCAATTTGAATGGGGATTTTGTCCACATTGCTGCCCAGTCTTCCTCATCTTTTTTTCCAACCTAGCGGTTCTTCTGAAGTCTTTGTTGTTGTTTTTTAAAGATATTTATTAAGATTTTCAAAATATTACAAAAAGAAAAATACAAAATAAAAATAGTTAAAAACAGTTCCATCTTTCCATTACTTATCTTTCATTTGCTTGTTTCCCGGACCTCCTCACACCTCCCTTTTTTGTATTCCAGTTCAATTTGTTAGTTCAGCAAATCCTTTCCCTCTTTGTTTGTCCTAGTCTTTAATCTTAAAGTATTATAACATTAAGTTTTTACCTGTTAATAATCCATTTTTTCATATTCCTTTATAGCATTATAGCTAAAAACCACTTAACCTCTTATCTAACATCATTCTATTTTTCATATTCCTTTATAGCATTATAGCTAAAAACCACTTAACTTCTTATCCAACATCATTCTAACATTCATTAATTTTACAGTATTTCTGTAAGTAGACTTTAAACTTTTTCCAATCTTCTTCCACCGACTCTTCTCCCTGGTCTCGGATTAGGTTCTTCTGAAGTCTTTGGCAGGGCCAAGGAAGTAGAACCACACATGTATTAATTTGTCACACCACTGGGTTGGCCTCAAACGTTCCTTCTCGCCTCTTTTCTTGACTCTCTTTCTGTTCCAACAGGTGGCGGATGGCCCAGTAAGAACAACAACCACAACAACAGACCCTGTGAGAGAAGCAAGCTTCAAGAAATGGAAGAGAACTTCAGAAATCCTGAGGGACCGACAGAACAGGAGGAAAACCAGATGGAGAAGTGGCTGGATGAACCCGCCGCTTCCCAGGACGAAAACTTTCGTGAAATCGTGGTTCAGCCAGAAAAGTCAAGAGGAACAAGAAGGAATGCCTGCCCTGCGCTTGTGAAGAACACCGGTCACAAATCAGACGTCAACGGCCACTGGAAAGTTCATGCGGAAGAGAAGCCGTACAAATGCATGGAGTGTGGAAAGAACTTCAGCCAGAGCACTCTCCTTAGGTTGCATCAGAGAATCCACACGGGAGACAAGCCCTACAGCTGCTCCGAGTGCGGCAAGAGATTTTACGACAGGTCTCACCTCAACAGCCACAAAAGAACCCACACCGGGGAGAAGCCGTATAAGTGCTTGGAGTGCGGGAAGAACTTCAGCCACAAGGTGAACCTTACCTCCCACCAGCGGATCCACACGGGAGAGAAACCTTACAACTGCTCGGACTGTGGGAAGAGCTTTTGCGACAAGCAGAACCTTATTAGACACCAAAGAATCCACACGGGAGAGAAGCCGTACAAATGTATGGAGTGTGGGCAGAACTTCAGGCAGAGGGCGACCCTCACCTCTCACCAGAGAGTCCACACCGGGGAGAGACCCTACCAGTGCTTGGATTGCGGAAAGTGCTTTTTCAGAAAAGCGGAACTGAACCGACACCAGAGGATTCACAGGGGAGAAGAAAGGCCCGTCATCTCTTGGAGCGTCGAAATGGCATCAGACGGGGTGTCGATTTTATGTCCCATCAGAGAACTGGCACAGGAAAACCAGCCAATAACTCCCGTGATTAAACAAGAACAGTATTGCTAAAATAAGAGTCAGAATAATTTGCATGAGAGACACACACACAAACACACTTTCCCCCCTGCCCCAATAAATGTTTGGGAGTGTAGAAAGAGCTTCAGCTAGAGCAGAACGTATGCATACTCTGTGAGGAAACAAACTTTTAACGCAGATCATACCTGAGGCTGTTGGACCAGGCTGCCTTTACGAGCAAAGAGTTGGCGCCCTATTCTTCGGCTTCCGATGTGTAAATCTCTCATGTGCCTTACTGAGTCCTGTCATCACTTGCGAAAGCTGACTAGTCAGCCTGCTTCCTTTGTGCCTATTTTTCCTATTAAAATATACACATTTGACGCAAAAACAATTCCTGTCCATTGAACGGTAGTTCCTTCTTGGAGCGATGCATATTAAGACACATTTCACTAACTGAGAGTTGTCGTGCTTTTTGTAACTGGAATGGTGGACTTAAATGATCCTAGAATTATCCCAGTGTAGAAACAGTGGTACCTCGGGTTACAGACACTTCAGTTTACAGACTCTGCTAACCCAGAAATAGTACCTCAGGTTAAGAACTTTGCTTCAGGATGAGAACAGAAATCGCGCGGCGGCAGCAGGAGGCCCCATTAGCTAAAGTGGTATTTCAGGTTAAGAACAGTTTCAGGTTGAGAAAGGACCTCCAGAACGAATTAAGTTCTTAACCCGAGGTACCACTGTATGTTGATGTTCCAGTTCCCAGATCCTGGTGTTGCTGGCTAAGGGCTAAGAAGGGGCTCATGGCAGTGTGAATGCTGTCCTGGAAGCCCCCAATTTAACGCCTGCTTCCTCTTGCATAGCAGCAAAGCCAATACTGGGTGTCTCTATCTGGCCCCTAGGGCTCATACCCCTTGCCGGCTCTGCTTTGCACCCCCAAGTCAGTGGAGCCCTAATTATGTGTTGGATTTGGGCCAGAAAAAAGGAGAGGTGGTAATAATAATAATAATAATAATAATAATAATAATAATAATAATATATTATTTCTACCCTGCCCACCTGACTGGGTTTCCCCAGCCACTCTGGGCGGCTTCCAGCAAAAGATAAAATAAATTAAAACTTCCCTAAACAGGGCTGCCTTCAGATGTCTTCTAAATGTCATATAGTTGTTTATTTCTTTGACATCTGATGAGAGGGCGTTCCACAGGGCGGGCGCCACTACTGAGAAGGTCCTCTGCCTGGTTCCCTGTAACTTTGCTTCTTGCAATGAGGGAACCGCTAGAAGGCCCTCGGCGCTGGACCTCAGTGTCCAGGTTGGACGATGGGGGTGGAGACGCTCCTTCAGGTATTATTATTTTATTAAAACCAGCTTTATATACCACTTAATCACCAGAGACTGCTAAGCCATTTACATAAATCAGTATAAAATATTAGTTTAAAAAATGTTGGTTGTCATCCATCTGTTTTGGGAGACAATCTAGGAGTGCGCCTTTGGGGTTGAGGTCAAGCTGTTGGAAGGTTGCAGCGCCTGCAGTGGCTATGGAGACCAACACGGGAGAGACATGTTTTGTTGCAGCCGGGGCAGAGGAAGGCGTCTGGTTCTGCTGCTGCAGATGCGCCATGACATTTCTTCTCTCTGTGCTCCTCCCAGCTATGTTCCTCTTCTGGTAACTGCTACGGATGCACAACTTGACTGCCTGTCTCCAAGCATTGCGGTCGTCTACAAGGGATTCCAATGTCGCGGGGCTGATTTTGCCTGCCTTCATGTCACATTTGCAGACATTTTGGTTAATGCAGAGTTGGTCTGCCAACGGGCCTGGTGCCTGAAGCCAGCTCCCCTGTAGAGCACAATCTTGGGGGTCCTGCCATCTTCCATTCTGTGGGCATGGCCAAGCCAGTGTTAATCAATTTAAAATATTGGTAATTTGAGAATACCATTAAAATCAAATGTTAATTACTGTACAAGTTGGTCTAAAATTTATCAAGATACAAATAAAATTGGGAGTTTTTTTATTTAAAAAATTGAAATCATTTTTATTTGATTTTACAATACAAAATTATTAAAAAATTCAAATACATACCTATATGCAGAGATTCCTCCGACTCTCAGGACTCCCTACCCTGGAGTCCCATTTTAAGCATTTAAAACCGCATCGTCTTCCAAAACTGTTATATCAACCCATATTTTCCATGGTGATTTTTACACTGCAAGTGAAAATCCTGCCAATACAGTGTTACCTCAGGTTACATACACTTCAGGTTACAGATGCTTCAGGTTACAGACTCCACTAACCCAGAAATAGTATCTCGGGTTAAGAACTTTGCTTCAGGATAAGAACAGAAATCGTGCTCCGGCGGCGCAGCAACAGGAGGAGGCCCCATTAGCTAAAGTGGTGCTTCAGGTTAAGGACAGTTTCAGCTTAAGAATGGACTTCCAGCACAATTAAGTACTTAACCCAAGGTACTACTGTATTTCCTTCCATCTGCTTAACAGTGGTCTCTTAAATAACTTACAATTTTTTCCCATGATTTTGTAAAGTTTCTGTCTTCTTGGTTCCTGAGTTTTCCAGTCAACTTTGCCATTTTTGCACAGCTTGGTTTGCCATTCTTCTTTAGTAAGAACTTTGTCGTCTTTTCATCTCTGGGCTAGTAGCTTCTGGGCGGTTGTAGTTGCATACCGTACATAAAAAGTCTTTTTCTGGTCCTTTGGGATGTTGGTACCTGTAATTCCTAATAAAATGCTTCTGGTTTTTTAACAAAAGTTATTTTAAACATTTTTTTCCATTTCATTGTATATCATCTCCCAGAAAGCTTTTACCACCTTAAAGGTCCACCACATACGATAAAAAGTAACTTTTTTTCTTTACATTTCCAGCAGGTATTTGTACTTGTCCTGTACATTTTTGCCAGCTTAAAGGTAAAGGGACCCCTGACTCTGGGGTTGCGGCGCTCGTCTTGCTTTACTGGCCGAGGGAGCCGGCGTACAGCTTCCGGGTCATGTGGCCAGCATGACTAAGCTGCTTCTGGCGAACCAGAGCAGTGCATGGAAACGGCGTTTACCTTCCCACCTATTTATCTACTTGCACTGGTGTGCTTTCGAACTGCTAGGTTGGCAGGAGCAGGGACCGAGCAATGGGAGCTCACCACGTTGCGGGGATTCAAACCGCCGACCTTCTGATAGGCAAGCCCTATGTTCTGTGGTTTAACCCACCGCCCCACCCACCAGCTTAGTAGGAGTCAAATACCACTGGTACATCATTTTCATATAATTCTCTTTCAAAGTACAACAGGACGTGAATTTCAGGTCTGTTTTCCAATCTGCCACCTGGACGTTATGCCCCAAATCTGTTGCCCAGTGTATCATTACCGATTTGACCTGTTCCCCTTTAAAAATTGGGAGTTTTGATCGCAAGTGCTCTACAAAAATATAAAAGGAAGCATTAGAATTATGGATAAAAAAATAGTTACATTCAAAATATTCAAGAGGTGATTGAAATGGGCAGTAGCTAAAAAATGAAACACGCTTGTATAGACTTGCAAACACCTTTTCAGGAGGTGCCAAAAAGAGCGCAGCAAAGATGTTTTTACTCTTTTACTCTCTTTCAAGCTAAGCAAATTGTTGCTGGCTCTCTTGCAGACCCACACTACGCATCGAAGTGCATCTGACGCACATTTAAAGCACATAACTCCCACCCCACCTAAAAGCTTTCTTCACCCCCTCAGTCCTGCTATGTAAAGCTGGCCAAAGGCATTGCCAGCCACTGAGGCCACTTGGCAAACCCTTGTATCGCCTGCCTTTCATAGGTTTCCTCTTCCTCCAGAAAAGGTTCCAGTTACAGATAGGTAGCCGTGTTGGTCTGCCATAGTCAAAACAAAAAAAAAATTCCTTCCAGTAGCACCTTAAAGACCAACTAAGTTAGTTCTTGGTTTGAGCTTTCGTGTGCATGCACACTTCTTCAGATACACTGAAACAGAAGTTGCCAGATCCTTCTATATAGTGAGAAAGTGGGGAGGGGTATTACTCAGAAGGGTGGTCGGAATGGGTGATTGGCAGATAGCTGTGATGAGCCTGTTGACGACTCTTAACGACTGCAATAGGTCTTACAGGAAAAAGCAAGGGGTGAGAAGGTGAAAAATGGCTTTGTCATGTATAATGAGATAAGAATCCAATGTCTTTGTTCAGACCAGGTTTCTCCATGGTTTTAAGTTTCGTAATGAGTTGCAATTCAGCAGCTTCTCTTTCCAGTCTATTTCTGAAATTCCTTTGTAGTAAAACAGCTACTTTGAGATCTTGTATAGAATGTCCTGGGAGATTGAAGTGTTCTCCTACTGGTTTCTCTGTCTTGTGAGTCTTGATGTCAGATTTATGTCCGTTTATTCTTTGGCGTAAGGTTTGGCCTGTTTGTCCAATATAGAGAGCTGAAGGACACTGTTGGCATTTGATGGCATACACAATGTAGGAGAACACTTCAATCTCCCAGGACATTCTACCAAGAACTAACTTAGTTGGTCTTTAAGGTGCTACTGGAAGGAATTTTTTTTGTCCAGAAAAGGTGTGTGTGTTTGTGGGGTGGGTGGGTGTTAGTGCTGAACTCCATGTACTTTTGGGAAGAGGGTGTTGTCTCTCTCTCTCTCTCTCTCTCTCTCTCTCTCTCTCTCTCTCATACCACCTGGAATCTATTGTTTTAACCCTGAGATGACCTCTTCCCCGGAAGGTTTCCAAATTCCTTGATTTGGAAATGCAAGAGTGGGATGATATTATTTTCATCATCATCAATTTTATTTATACTTTTCAGATATATACATTTCACTGATTTTACATTCATTTTGACATTTTAAAACTTCCTTCCCCCTCTTTCTGCAGTCCCTTAAATTCATTTTTGATATCTTCTGCCTATCCAAATTCATTTAATTTGCTCATTTAATTGTCTGCTTTA